AATTTTTTTTTTTAACTATTTTTATTAATAATTCAATGTCCTCGATGTTATTATTTCTAATTTCTGGAATAACAAATAATTAAAAATGCACCTATACACTATATCATAATATTTTGATAATATTTCAAAATAAAAAGTTCCTTAATGTTTAGAATTATATCTTAAAGAATTGCTTGTCATTATCAATTGGTATACTAATTTGTTTTTCCGAGCCATCTATGACCACTGTGGTTGCACTCATATGATTTTAATGAATTCTATTTTATTGCTATTATCAAGTCTATTATTAAAATAACTTTTAAAAATAACTTTTGCCAAAGGTGAAACAATGTCTTAAAATTCTTGGAGTATCTACAGTTTTTTTTCAATAATTTTTATATAATTATTCATTGTAACCCATTTAATTATATCTAATCACTAAACTACAACTGTACATACCATTGATTCATATTATCTATATGAAAATTCCTTATTAATTTAACAGTTTTATTAAATTTTTAAGAAAAATAAAATATTTTTAAATTATCAAAAACAACAATAGGATCTATTTTGTGATATAAATTTAAACGCCATCAAATAAATTTTTTCTCTTTTCCTTTTAAGTTGCCCAGTATGATTGTTTACTTTATATCTTAAAGTATTGCTTGTCATTGAAAATCTTTTAATTCAAGCAAATACTTTTCTGACAATTATCCTGATTGATTTTTGAATTATATACTGATCCTTTTTTAATGGTAGTTTATGGTTTGAAATAACAAACTAGCATACCAATTAAAAAAGATATTAGAAATTTATTTTATAGTTGTAAATAAAGTAAATCAGCTTTAACCTTATTGGTTTATTGTTGTCCAAAAAGTGGAAAGGTATTTCAGATTGGCTTTCCTTCAGGTGTTTGTAAAATGATATTGTGTTATTGAAGTAGGTGGTAAAAATAAGATATTAAACAACAAAATAAAATTCAAAATGTATTTTCTAAAATTAAAAGATTTTCGACAAGCAATATTTTAAGATATAAATTTTAACAGGAAATTCCTTAGATAATGTTTTAAAAAGATATCATACAATATAATGTAAGTTGTATTTTTCGTTAATTGTTATTTAGGGATTAGAAATAATAACATTGATGTTACAAAGAATAATAATATTAAAATAATGTAAAAAAAAAATTTTAATATGTAAAAAAAAATTTAAAAAAAACCCCAAAATAACCAATTTATTCAAAAATCATCAAAAAATAATATGGGAAAAAAAAAAAAAAAAAAAGTTTTTTAAAGTTTTTTTCTGTTTTTTTTTTTTTTTTTAGTTTTTTTTTTTTTTTTTTTTTGAGTTTTGAAGGAATTCATAATCTTTTATAATTTTGAAAATAAACAAAAACAATAAAATTTTTTTTTTTTTTTTAAATATTTAATCTTTTTAAAAAAAAAACATCTTTTTGGATATTTGTTGATTTTACAAAAAAAAATAAAAAAAAATAAACTTTATATGAAGTGATAAAATTTAAATAAAAAAACGTCTAATTTTTATTTTACAGAATAAAACAGAAAATATTTTTTCTATTATATTATTATTGAAATAATTTCTTCATTTCATATTTAATAAATAAATAATTAAGTATAAAAATAAAAAATAAAATGGTAATTGCAGCAAGTGATAATGTATAATAATAATTGAAATAAATTTTTTTTTTTTTTTTATTTTTTTTTTTTATTTGTGATCCTTTTTTTTAATTTTTTAATCCAAAATCGTTAAAATTTAGGATTTTTTAAATCCTTTATTTCATTTTTCGATCCAAAAAATCCTAAATTCTTCCCAGAGATTTTTTTTTTTTGGAACAATCCTTAGCTATAGTTTTTTGGTAAATTTTTAATAAATAATTGAGGATAGTGGTGGATCAAATATATAGTCAATTCAAATGAAATTCCTTTAGTGATTTTAATGGTAAGTTCATAATCATTAAATTCGTTATCATATTTTTTTTCTATAGCGGCCAAAAAAAGGTTTAAAATTAAAGTGTCAAAATTTTTATAGACTGTTTTTAGTTGTTCATCTAAATAAATGAAAAAATCTCCTATAACTAAGGTGGATGTGTTGCTACAAATACGATAAAAATTTTCTAATATGTATTTACTTCTTTCTAGACCCAATTTGGATTTTGCTTTTTCTTGATCTTTTAGATCCTGTTTGTATTCAGTTGATTGGGAATATTGGGTAAGGTTAAAAGGAGTACTTTCTATTTTCGTACCATATAATGTTTGATATGCACCTTTCGATATATATTCATTAAGAAGTAAATTTGATGTTATATTTTCTTGTTTTGTTATTAATTTTATGGCATTTGGTTTACCTTGAATCCATGGGTGGTTGAGCAGCTTTTTAGCAGATGGTCTGACTTCAGGTGATATTAAAAAACAAGCATTTAAAAAATCTCTTAGATTTAATGATAAATTTGGTGGGATTGGTGGGTGGATTTCATCCTCAATTTTATTGTTTGGCCAAGGATTACCACCTACTAACATTTCAACGATTGTACAACCGAGACTCCAAATATCACTTGATCTCCCACATTCACCAATAATATTTAATCTAACCTCTGGTGCTTGCCAAAAGTGTGTGCCAGCGTTGCTATAAAATGTTGAATGTGATTCTCTATCAAATTTATGAGATAAGCCAAAGTCAATTATGTATGGATGGTCACCTTTTAGTAAAATGTTATCTCCTTTTAGATCTCTGTGTACTACTTTTTCACTATGAATATGAACCAATGCATTTAATACACCTGTTATAATAGTTCTACAATTTGATTCCTTGAAAGCACCACTTGTTTTATATACAGAGGAAATTGAATCTGGTAAATATTCAAAAAAAATTGATAAATGATTTTCATCATTTTGGTATGAAAGAATTTAATAATATTATCATGTTTTAGTTTTGATAAAATTTCAACTTCTTCGAAAATCTATATGTAAATAGAAAATTAGTTTTGGTGAAAGTATATACAAGATACTTGATTTTACTTACTTTTCTATTTTTTGATATTAGTATTTGCTTCATTGCCATTGTTGACCCATTTGTTTTGTGTTCCATTTTAAATACTTCACCAAAACCACCTTTCCCGACTGGTGTTATATTATAATCTTTAAAATCTATTTTAAGGAGCGGAGATGTCTGTTCATTTTTTACAAATAAATTTGAAGTCTCTGAGTTGATTAAAGTATTATGTTTCTTTTTTAGTTTCAAGAGCGCCTTTTTAAACTGTAGCTTTTCACCGATTGTAATATTGTTTGTAATACCCAATCCATTAAAATCACCTTCATTGATACCCAATAAAAAATTGCCATCAACTTTAAGCTTTGAAAAACTATCAGCCAATACTTCCAAATCTTTTGATTTTAACCAAAAAGATACATCTTCTAATGACCAATTTAAAATGTTTTTATTTTTAATATCGATTAATGATTCATGCACACATTGTATCTCTTCTGATGATAAAGAAATATCTTTAGATAATTCAATCCCTTTCAAGATTGTCATATTATTATGTTATAATTTAATAATTATGTTTTTATATAAATAATTTAAATTTATTTTTTTATTTTATATAAATAGATTTTTGTTTTTCTAAATCCTTTTTTTTTTTTTTTTTTTTTTTTTTTTTTTTGGAAAAATAAAAAAAAAAAAAAATTTTTAAAAAAAAAAAGAAAACGTTAAAAAAAACTATATATAATTTTTTAAAAATTTTTTGGAAAAAAAAAAGAAAACGTTAAAAAAAAATATATATAATTTTGAACTACAGTTTTTTTTTATTTATTTTTATTTTTGAAACTACAATTTTATTTTTTTATGTTTTGAAATTAGAAATTTTTTTTTTTTATACAACATTTATTTTAGACAAGAGTAATAAATTATAAAAATAATCAGATTTGGGTATTTTAGGGTTAAATTTTTTAATTTTAACTATTCCTTCATATCTTTATTTTTTCATTAAATTATAGATACTCCTTTATTAACAATGAATAGAGATTTATATGAATGGGACCATCGCGAAGTGTGCAATTGGTTAGATGAAACAGGGAAATTTACACCAGAAACTATCAAAACTTTTGATTCTCACCAAATAAGAGGGGAACATTTGGAAGAACTATTTAATTTTATACCATTTTTATTAAAAACCTTCCAAAAAAAAAAAATTTTACCGAAATAATGTAAAATAAAAAATAAAGAACTTATCAAAGAATATTTTTATTATTATTTTTATTAGTTTTATTTTATTAATATAAAATCAAAATGAAATACAATTTTAAATTCATAACAATCTCCACTAGGTAATATTTGTTAGTACTGAATAACCACCAAAGTAGTAGTTTTACAATAATAAACCTTTATTAAAGTTGACTTCATGTTTGCTTAACTATAATTATAATAATTAGCAAAAAAAATTTAAAAAATAAAAAAAAAAAAAAAATTTATGAAAAAAAAAATAAGAAAGTTTGGCATGAAAATTTTTTTTTTTTATTTTTAAGTTTTTTTTTGATGATTAAAATTTGCAATTTTTTTTTTTTTGAAATTTTTTTAATTTTTTTTTAAATAAATCAATAAATTTGTGATAGTATTCAGCGAGATAAATGTCATATGAAAGTTTATACCAGTAGCCCTGGTGATAAAATTATTAAATAATGTTTATATTTTTTTAATAAATGATTGAGGACAGTGGTAAAGCAAATATATGGTGAAATCTCTTGCCAAGGCTAAAGAAAGACTAATAGTAAAATCATAATCAGAGTAATTATTACCAATAAGTTCTTTTTTTAAAAAACCCTCTAAAAGAAAGGTGTCAAATTTTTTAAACTTTTTTTTTAGCTGTGGATTCATAAGAATGAAATAATCTCCTGTATATATGGTGGATGTGTTTTCAACAAAACTATAAAACGTTCCCAAGATTTGATTACTTTTTGTTTGACCCAGTTTGGATATATATTTTTTGTGATCTTCTAAATTCTTTTTGTATTCAATTGATCGGGAATATACGGTTGGATCAAAGGGGAGAAGGTCCTTCTTAGCTTGATTTAAAAAAAGGTATGCTCCTTTCGACATATATTCATTAAGAAGTGTACTTGATGTTAAATTTTCTTGTTTTGTTATTTCTTTTAAGAGATCTGGTTTACCTTGAATCCATGGGTGGTTGAGCAGCTTTTTAGCAGATGGTCTGACTTCAGGTGATATTAAAAAACAAGCATTTAAAAAATCTCTTAGATTTACTGATAAATTTGGTGGAATTGGTGGGTGGTACCCATCTTCAACTTTAATGTTTTGCCAAGGATTACCACCTACTAACATTTCAACGATTGTACAACCGAGACTCCAAATATCACTTGATCTCCCACATTCACCAATAATATTTAATCTAACCTCTGGTGCTTGCCAAAAGTGTGTACCAGCGTTGCTATAAAATGTTGAATGTGATTCTCTATCAAATTTATGAGATAAGCCAAAGTCAATTATGTATGGATGGTCACCTTTTAGTAAAATGTTATCTCCTTTTAGATCTCTGTGTACTACTTTTTCACTATGAATATGAACCAATGCCTTTAATACACCTGTTATAATATTTCTACAGCTTGATTCCTTGAAAGCACCCTTTTTATAATATACAGAGGAAATTGAATCTGGTAAATATTCAAAAAAAATTGATAAATGATTTTCATCATTTTGGTATGAAAGAATTTTAATAATATTATCATGTTTTAGTTTTGATAAAATTTCAACTTCTTCAAAAATCTATATATAAATATAATTAGTTTTGGTGAAAGTATATACAAGATATTTGATTCTACTTACTTTTTTATTTTTTAATATTGGTATTTTTTTCATTGCCATTGTTGAGCCACTGGTTTTGTGTTCCATTTTATAAACTTCACCAAAACCACCTTTCCCGACTGGTGTTATATTATAATCTTTAAAATCTATTTTAGGGAGCGGTAATGCCTGTTCATTTTTTACAGAAAAGGCTGGAGTCTCTGAGTTGATTAAAGTATTGTATTTGGTTTTTAGTTTTGAGAGTGCCTTTTTAAATTTTAATTTATCACCGATTGTAATATTGTTTGTGACCCCCAATCCATTAAAATCACATTGATCGATACCCAATAAGAATTTGCCATCAATTTTTTTCATTGAAAAACTATTGATAAATATTTTCAAATCCTTTGATTCTAACCAAGTAGATACATCTTCTAATGACCAATTTAAAATGTTTTTAATATCGATAGATGATTTTTGTTTAAATTGTATCTCTCCTGATGATAAAGAAATATCTTTAGATAATAGAACTCCTTCCAAGATTGTCATATTATTATGTTATAATTAAATTTAATAACTATGTTAAAATTTTTTTTATTACTGTTTAATTTTATTATTTTGTTAAACAAATAGGTTTTTATAATTTTTTTTTTTTTTAAGTTTCATAAATATTTTTTAAGTTTCTGGATTTTTTTAAACTTGAATTAATATTTTTTATATTTAAGTTTCGAAATTTTTATTTTTTTTTTAAGTTTCATATATAATTTTTAAGTTTCTGAATTTTTTTAAATTTATTTTCTATTTAACAAAAAAAATATCCATATTTTAATTATATAAAATATATTATATATTATTTAGTATATCTATTTTAATATTTTTTAATTTTAATTATTTATAAATTTATTTAGCTTTGTTTAATTAAATTTATCTTTTTTTAAAAAAATATTAATATAAAAAAATAATAATAATTTAAATAAAGACTTATTTTTTAATTTCAGTTTTTTTAAAAATTTTTGACAAGTGTAAATTTTTGAAAATATTCATAAAATAATCAAAACTATTTATATTATTTGTTTTTTTAGCTATTCCTTTTATACCCATATATTTTTTATCAAGCTACGGATGCTCCTTTTTTAACAATGATTAGAAGTTTATATGAATGGGACAATCTCCAAGTGTCGGAATGGTTGAAAAAAACAGGGAAATTTACTCCAGATACTATCAATATTTTTAAATTTTACCAAATAAGAGGGGAACATTTGGAAGAACTATATAATTATTAAAAAATTTTACAAGAAATGGGAATTAGTATTAATAACCGTTTATCATTTTTTGTTGAATATAAAAAACTAAAATCAAATGAAGAAACTATCAAAAAAAACGATGATACTCAAAATTCTGATTATGATGCAAATAAATCAAGAGGACCAAATAATATTAGTAAAATTTTTGATTCATCGAAGTCACCAAAATTTGGTATTGTGTACCAATGGATCATTGGAAGTAAAAAATCATTTGAAGAAGAGAAAAAAAATATTAAAAGTTTTAAAATTAAAGATACCATTTTAAAAAATAATGTATTAAATCAACTTAAAGAAAAATGGAAAAATCAAAAAATAAATATATCACTTTTAATATTTGCCTATGAGTTTAAAGAATTTTCGTTATTGGGATTAGATACTTTAGGTAAAAGATTAAATTTTCAATATGAAATGTCAATTCTTTTAAGAAAACTTGACCCATCATTAATGGTATCTTTTCTATTAGTAGACCCAAATTTTTTAGAAAAGAATGTTGAACAAGTTAATGACGCATTATTAAAGTTTTCACTAGAAGATAAACCATCCAACTATTCCTACTATAATGATCTATCTGAAATATTCAAGAGACATAATATCAATGGAGTCGCATTATTATCATTAATGGAAGAAGATCTTATAGAATCATTAGGAATTGTTGATGATAATTTAAAAACCTCTTTTTTCACTTTTTACCATTCAATATTTAAATCCTAAATAAAATTTATTTAAATTCAATAGAGTAATATTTATTATTATTTTTTTTGTTTCTAATAATGTTTATTTTGTTCTGATTTTAAACTATCCAATATTGATTTAAAAACTTGATAGTTGTATTTTTTTTTATACAAAAATCACCAAAAATTAAATTTTGTATTGACTTTCAATTATTATCCAAAATTCTTCATTAAATATTAATTAAATTATTAGTATTTTTAAAATTAATATTGGATAGTTTAAAATCATTGGTAGTAATAGTAAAAAAAATCATTTGAGTGCAACCTTTGAATTAATTTTATTCAACCTATCATCATAATCAGTGTAATATCATTTGTGATTTTGTTGCATTTAAAACTGTATTTCTAGTTATGTTTTTTAATTTAAATAGCTCTTGAATTGGTAAATGTAATTCTGTAACTTTTTAATCAACATTAGGTAAATCTTGTAACTATGTAATGAACCAAACATACAACTTCTTGTTAATATCATTTCTTTTGGTTCTGAAAATGATAATGCACAAATTAAAGATGACACTTTCACGAACTTTTTTTACTTTTAATGTTTGTCTAATTATTTTTGGCACTCTCCATCATCCTTTAGAATAACCTTTAAAAAATAAAAACCTCACCAATTTGGATTAGCTGATAAATTATCCTCAACTGTTTTTAAATTATATAAACACTTTTGTCATTAACTATCCATATTGGGTTATGAAAACAATTAAATTCATTTCTATTATTTGATCAAATTCCTTGATTATTACTATCTGTTTTTATTTGTTTTTAATTTTATTATAATGATTTTTCATATTGAAAAATTTTCTCATGAAAATAATTATAGTATTATTTATTTATGTTTATCCCCATTTTATTTGTTACCAATTTTTATTTTTTCCTTTGTAATAAAATAAAAAGGAAAAAATATTTATTAAATTTTATTTATTTATTTTAATTATTTTATTTATTTTATTTATTTTTAACACAATTTTAAATTTTTTTTATAAATTAATAATTATTATGGATGGAATATATTACATGAATGTTTGTACAGTAAAAAAAAAATTTAAATTATTGTTAAATTTACTTTCTCTTTTTTTCATTAATTAACTTTTTGTTGAAGATGTTCATATCCATCCCAAATGTTAATATAACCTGTTTTTAAATCTGTTGTTCTATGTCTAGGGATAAGTATTTTTACTCTATGTGATTTCATATGTGACATATATTTGTTTTTGATAAAAATAAAATAAAAAAAAAATCAGAAAATAAAAGTATACACATTAATTTGCTTTTAATATATTTTTTTGGTGGAATAATGGTATATATTTTGGTGGGCATATATTTTATTTAATTTTCTTTAAAAAAAATTGCTCGTTTTTTTAAAACCTAAAAATAAAAAGAATTTTGATCAAGATATTTTGGTAATGATTTTAAA